GGATCATTGATATCATGCCCATTTTAGATGACGAAACTGAGGCTCGGAGAGGGGAAGTAACTTGCCCAGCATCACACAAGCAGTAGGTGGCAGAGCTGGGATTCGAACCCAAATTCTCTGGCCACTAAGAATCTAGACACCACTTCACCATATTGTTGTAGGTGCTCAAGAAATACTTGAGAAATTCTCATGTTGGCACCCTTGTCATTAGCTCTGCAAGAACTGGCCTTTCCAGAAACTCTCTTGGTCTTTGTCTCCAGCTTCCCAGAAAGACACAGCTTTTATAACCTGAGCTCTGAAGCCTGGGGTGGGTGGGACACATAGGCAGGAAGTTCAGACACGTGGCCAGGTCTTGCCACTCAAAGGAGCTCTTCAGTGGAGGAAGGGGTCCTCCTGGCACTGGTTGGCAAGGGGCTTCTGGCCAAAACCAATAGGTACTGTCACTGAGGCCCATGGGCCAGGCTCTGGGCCTGGACTTGGACCAATAGACCCCAGGAAGTGGGCAGGTCCCTGTGGTTTTGGCGTGGGCCCTTTTCCTTTGGAAGGACATCAGTGTTGCGGGGCCTGGGGTGGGGGCCTCCAGCTCTTGGTAAGTATTGGGCACTTCCAAGACAGGATGTGACAGTTACAGTCCTCAAAGGAGGGAGAACATGGAGGTAGGGGGAGAAGAGAGAGCAGACAAAAGCCAGAGGCCAGCCTGGGGGGACGGAGATGGGCAGGCAACCACCTTGTAGCCATTCCCCCCATCCTTTCCATATATGCTGTTTTAACTTACTCCGTGTCATAATTTCTGTTGTGGTACAGTTGCGAAGAGCATGGCCTCTGCAGCCAGACAGGCCTGGGTTCAAATACCCATTGTAGTCAGTAGCTGTGACTGTGGGCAAGTTACCTTCCCTTTCTGAGCCTCACTCTTCACCTCTGTAAAATGGGAACAATAATTCTACCTATGTCTTTTGGGTTTTGTGAAGGTTCAGTGAGGCAACTCATGTAGATGTCACTAGGGGTCTGATACATAGTAAAGATTTTTTAAAAGTTACTTATTTTAATTTCCATTTTATAAGTGAAGAAACAGAGAGGTTAAGTGACTTGTGCAAGGTCACACAGCCCAGAGAGGGAACTGGCCATCCAATGAAAGGGAATCAGGTGCTACTATGCAATGCACCTCCGAGACCCTGAGTCTCCACTTTGCTATGCAAAGGCCCTGTTTGTGGGAATCCTGGGGCCACCAATGTGAGTGTGCACAGCTGGTTAGGTCAGCATTGACCTCTTTCATTAATACCATCCAAAGGAGGGTGTGACTCATCTCCAGACGGCATTTAGATTTTCTCCAGTGCTTTCCCTTTCACAGCTCAGAGATGGGGCCAGGCAAGTGTTAAACTCCATTCTTCAGCTGGAGACTTAGGTTGATGGTGGAATGGCGGGTTCTGGAAGATAGGAGCTGAACAGGAAATGCACGTTCAGTGTTAACTAGGTCCGAAATTCTCACTTTGGCTGATGTTAAGAGCAAATGGCTAATGTTAATATGATTTGGTAGCACTCATTAGATGGACTGTACTTCTTTTAGAATCTCAGAAAATCATGAACTTTCTGAGTTGGAAGATGCTTTAAAGGATCATGGTCCTACCTGCTTTCTATTGCTTGGGTGTCAACATTACTACCAAGTACTGTCCACCTTCTGCCTGGGGCAGAGAAAGGCTCTCAGATTAATTCCCTCATCTGATTCATCAGGGACAGTGCAGGATATTGATAGAAGCACAGAGGTCTTCCAAGTCTGGCCTCTCTAAATGGAATATGAGGGGTGTCTTAGTTATCTAGTGCTGCTATAACAGAAATATCACAAGTGGATGGCTTCACAAAAGAGGCGTTTATTCTCTTAGTCTAGTAGGCTAAAAGTCTGAATTCAGGGCATCATCTCCAGGGGAAGGCTTTCTCTGTTGGCTCTGGAGGAAGGTCCTTGTCATTAATCTTCCGCTGGTCTAGGAGCTTCTCCGTGCAGGAACCTTGGGTCCAAAGCATGTTCTCTGCTCCTGGCAGTGCTTTCTTGGTGGTATAAGGTCCCCAACTCTCTGCTCGCTTCCCTTTCCTTTTATCTCTTGTAAGATAAAAGGTGGTGCAGGCCACACCCCAGGTAAACTCCCTTTACTTTGGATCGGTTGGATCCGGGATGTGACCTTAGTAAGGGTGTTATACAATCCCACCCTAACCCTCTTTAACATAATCTAGTCTTGCCTTATTGACCGCAGGCAGAGATTAGGATTTATAACACATAGGAAAATTACAATCACAAAATGTAGGACAACCACACAATACTGGGAATCAGGGCCTAACCAAGTTGACACATATTTTTGGAGGACACAATTCAATCCATGAAAAGGGGACAATTTGACTGGAGCCCCATGGACTCTGTTTATCTCATTGACTAATCTCTGCTGAGAGATGGGAGATTTCCTAGGGGTCTCCTCCATGAACGGGAAGCTCTGGGAAGGACTCAGAGAGGTATGAGACAACAGTAGCTGCCTCTTTCTGAGTCTTAGTTTACTGATCTGTAAAATAGGAGTATTAATCCCACAGGAAGTGGGATTGGCCCTCATTTTGAGGACTAAGAAGAGTGGGCCAATGTCTTGCTGTGGATTCAGGTGAGAGGCACCAGGGCAAAGTGGGTGAGGCCTGGATTCCCATTCCAGCTCCATCATTTCACCAGTTGTGTGCTACTTGATCTCTTATCTGTAAGATGAAGGCAATAATAATTCCTTTGAGGCTGGGTAGTTTATTGAGATATTACTTTGTGCTTTTTCTTTGCTGCTGCTACTAAGACTCAGAAGGAAGCAGAGTTTTCCTTCTCCCAGCCCAGGAAAGCGGTGGAGCCTGGAAGTTCTGGGTCTGAGGGCTCTTGCCTTAGAGGTTCTTGGATGCCCCAGATTGGAAAAAGGCTTGCAACAGGGGCCAATCCTTCTCCTTCTGTTTGGGAGGTGGCAACCCAAGGGGGTGTGATGAAGGAGAAGAGAGTAGAGGGGAGGCATTGTAGGCTGATGGCTAAGGGCTGTTTGGCAGTTGTGTCAAGCTGTCAGAGCCTCAGTTTCTTCATTTGTTTAAGTGGGAGAGGATGGCAGAATTCGTGCCACAGCCTGTGGAGGAGGCTGAGTGAGTGAAGGTCTGTAAGACCCTCTGAATGGTACCCGCCCAGAACAAATGCTTGTCTTAGTTTGGGTTCCCCAGAAGCAGACCCTGAAACAAGGATTTGAGTGCAGGTAATTGATTTGGGAGCTGATTCCAGGAAATACCATAGGGGAGTGGGGACCTGCGACAGGGAAGGGGAGGCAGATAATAAAGAGTGTGTTATCTAGCTCATGTGGACAACCGGGGTTCAGTCCTTCTGGGGAGTTCTGGGAGCCAGTGTAGAACACGTGCCTCAGAGTTGTCCCCTGCCCCAAAGGGTGAGGAAGCTGGAGTTATTTATCATTTCCCAGGAAGCCCAGAGGATGTGGGTAGTTGGAGTCCTTGGAGCCATGGCCGTGGCTGTTTTGGAGAAGGATCCCTGTGCCCCAGCTTGGTTGGGGTGATGGAGCTGCTCACCTCTGACAGGATCATGTGGGCTGGGACAGAGACACTTTCATTAGGACCAGGCTGCACCGAAACCAGAGGCTCTGCCCCATCCTCCAGCTTCCTTGGAGGCCCCTCTCCCCAACAGATCCTTGTGTAACTGCAGGGAGCCAGAAGGGAGATACACCAAACAAGATGGAGATTGAATTTCTCGGCTCCCTGATGAGTGGGGACTCAAACCTAGACTTAACATGATTTAGAAAGTTAAAGAAATGTGATGGGTGTGGAGCAAATTCATACCCACTTCTCAGACCACAGTGTGGTTGTGAATCTGGGAGATGCGTGGGAAGCTTCAGCACAAAGCCTGCCACTCAGTAACCAATTGGTGTGAGCGGATGCGTGTAAGGCCTCAAGGCCTGGCCCATGACTTGTACATAGGAGAAGCGCCTCCCTGGGCTGCCTCCCCAGGCTGTGAGCAGTTACTATGCCTCGGCCAACAGGCCTGCTATTTATGCTTTGAAGTTGAGAAATGCCACTTCCCGAAGTACCCACCACGTCCCTTTCTGCAAGGCTCCTGGTGTGAGTGAGTGAAGGACTCTTGTGTGCTGACTAGGCCAGGGTCTGGAGGATAGGAGCCCTATTGTCTGTCTTGAGCCTCCTGGCAACAGGGAGGCCAGGGAGACAATGACAGTCACGTGCTGTCAGAGTAGGTAGGGCCTTCAGCGATAAGGCTTGACCTCCCAAAACCCGGAAACAACCCATTAAGGATGACATCACCTCCAGCTGACATTGCTCGAACTTCTACCATGTGTCTGGAACCATTTTCTTTCATTTTATCCTCACCATGGCCTCCAAGGTGGGGCTATGATTCTACCCAAATTATAGAGAAGGAAACTGAGGTCCAGAGAGGGGAAGCCACATCCCAAGGTCATACAACAAGTGGGCCGCCAGCCCAGAACGCAAAGCCCAGTTCATCTGTCTTCTGAGCCATATTGTAAAAAAGAGCCCTTGACCCACCACATTGCCAAGTACAACAAAATGTGCCAAAGTGGCCATGAGGCTCACATGGAAGGCAGGAAGGAAGAACTGGCTTTCTTATTCCTTAAGCCCAAGGAGGTGGCAAAGACCTTGAATGTCATCCACACGTGGCCCAGATGTGGCCCAGAAATAGCTCAGTCATTGACTGGATTGGCTCAGATGTGCCTGAACATGACCCAAATGTGGCCCAGATGTGGCTTGGACATCCTGTCTCCAAGCCTGCCAGGGGTGAAATGACTCCTGTGCTGGGATATAGATAGATCACACGGCAAGAGTCACAGGGAAGTGCTTGTTTATTGCAGAGAGGGACAGTCTACAGAGTTCGCCTATGGCCTGCCCTCTCCCCAACTCCCAGCCTGCCAGCCTGCCTGGAAGACCACTGTCCAAGTCTTCTGGGGGAGAGAGGAGAGTGGTCCAGGGTTCTATGAGCGGGCCGAGGTGATCACAAGGGCGTCCTGGAGTTGGAGGAGAAAAGTCAAACTGGGTCTTTACTGCCTGACTTGAGATTTATGCTGGCTTTGTCCTCAAGAGGGTGACTGCTGGCATTGGGGGTCATGACCCTGAACTCACACAGAGTTCTTGGAGGGGTCAAAAAAGGTGGGTTCAGTGTGTGAATAGTAACACCAGCAGGGGATGTTTTCTGTTTGTTCACTTCTGTTGCCTCAAGCACGCTTAAGCATGCCTGGCACATAGTGGGCCCTCAAAAACTATTCACTGAATGAATGAACAAATGAATAAATGAGTGACAAATAGGATGGGAAAAGCTGGAGGTGTGTTGACCCCAGGCCAGAACTGCCAGAACAGTCTACCCTCCAGGGCACTATTGGGGCACATTACAGATGAGGAGCCAAAGCCCAGAGAAGGAAAGAGACTTGCCCAAGGTCCCCAGTGAGTGGACCACAGGCCCACCTCCCAGCCCAGGACTCTCCCAGCCAGTATACCCTCCCTAAACCAAAACCCACTGCCTTTGAGTCAGTTCCACTTGTAGTGAGCCTAAAGGACAGAGTAGAACTGCCCCCATAGGGTTTCCAAGGCTGTAAATCTTTACGGAAGCAAACTGCCACGTCTTTCTCCCACAGAGCGGTGGGTGGGTTTGAACCTTGACCTTTCGGTTAGCAGCCGAGCACTTTCAGTTAACTGCCCTTCCTAGGGCAGTGTACTTGAGTCCATGGCCCACTCACATTGGTTACAGACACTGCAGCTTCTTCAAATCCCAAAGTCTTAATCATCGAAATTGTGATCCCGGATCTTAATTTGCCTGAAATAAAAAACGTGGTCAGAGACTGGTGGGCCTGGGGGGACACTGGGGCAGGCTTGGCCAGGGATTCGGAGTGTCTCCTCTGTCTCTGCTCACCTGTTTCCGGGCCCCCAGCATCCACACAGCCTCATCTCCCCACCCTTTGCCTCTGACACCAGCTTCTGGCTGTTCTCAAAGCACAGCCTCACATCCTCTCACACTCCTGCTCAAGAACCATCAGGGGCTCCCATGGTCCACAGCAGAGGTTTCTATCCTTTGAGATTTCCCACTCTAATAAAATACAGAAATGGAGAAGGCAGGGCTGGCATGGGTCACTAATTCTCTCCAGCCCTATTACCTAGTGCTTAGAGTAATTCCACCTTCTCTCTCGGCTTCCGCCACTAGTAGCACAAAACACCAATGCCAATAACAGCAATGGCTAAGAGGCATTGAGCACTGACTGTGCGGGGAATTACCTTACAAACATGGTCTCATTTATACCTCAGAGGAAGGTGGTACTCTTATTTCCCTATTTTACATATGGGGGAAACTGAAGCTCAGATCAAGGTCAGCCAGCCAGCAAGAGGGTTGACCAGGGCTTGAACCCAGGTCTGCGTGAAGCAGCTCAGGTGAGCTCTGGTTGTCTGTTTACACTAGTGTCCCTTGGCTGTGAGCCCTGTGAGGCTGGGCCTTGCCTGGTTTGTCTCTGTGTGCCCAGGCTCTGGACTAGTAGAGGAATTACTAGGGCTGGGAGGTCTGAGAGGGGAGAGGTAATTTCCAGCTGAGTGCTCACAAAAGCTTCCTGGAGGAGGTGGAATTTGGAGCAGGCTCTGAAGGATGGATGGAAAATGAATGAAAAGGGCCCCAAAGGGAGACAGGAGAAGCAAAGGGGGGTGGGAGTGGCAGGGGGAGTGACGCACCATTCTCGTTTGGCAGCAGGATGGAGAACAGGATCTTAGTGACGATGTCTTTCAGAAGATCAGCCTGTGAGAGAGAAGGGGCACTATCACCCTAGCTGAGAATACAAAGTCCTGTCAGCCATTCCTAGGGCAGATGTGGCCCAGCCTCATGGCGAGGGTAGCTGGTGGAGATGCCAGAATCCCAGGTCCCCTGCCTGTCAGAGTGGCGAGGGCTCCTGGACGCCAGATAGGCTAGGGGTGGGGCACAAACAGCTAGCTGCCCCTGGGGTCTGGCAGGTGGTGGGACTGGGGTGCAGTGGAGGATGGGTCCACCCTCAGGGGGCTCCCCAGCTCTGTTCCAGACTAATTTGCCCTGATGGAATGTTGTCCGTGTTGCCTGAGCTTTTGACTTCTCAAGGGAGGCCAGAAATCCTGGTTTTCGTGTGGAAACCTCCCTGTTTTAGAATATCAGCCAAAAAAATAAAACAAAACAAAACAAAAACCAAAACCCTAAACAAAACGCAAGGGCCAAAGGAAATGCAGCAGAAGGCAGGTTTGGGCCGGTTTGAAACCTCTGATTCAGTCTGACTCAGATGGGGAAACTGAGGACCAACAGGGAAGAGGCTGCCCAGGGTCACTGAGGGGAGTCTACGTGAGCAAAATGAGATTGTGAATCAGGGGCTTTGTTTTCTAATTTAGGATCAAAACTTCACTGAAGGAAAGTGAGTGTGTATCTGTGTATGTGAGTATCTGTGACTGTGTGTATTTGTGTGTGTGAGTATACATGTGTTCTCAGCTGTGTCTAGTACACAGTCAATGCTCAGTGAATGCCTGGGCCAGGAGGTCTGTGGCTGCTGCCAGGCCTCTTCCCTCTCCCTCCTTTTGCCCACATTCAGTCCTCAAGAGCTGGAGATTCCAGGCCAGGCAGCCTTCCTGTGAGTCCTGGTGCTCACCTCAGACCAGGGCTTTGTGGCTGGTAATCTGGAGGCTACCACAGGGCTGCCCGTGAGGATCTTGTTTGAGATAAACGCTGGGCAGTGTTTCTTTTCAGAATGAACCATTCTGGGCTCTGTTAATACTCACGTTGAACAGGCCAATCCCGGAGTTCATACGGTAGATCCGATCAGAACTGCAACAGAAGACGCTTGTGAGAATGGCCCCTCAGGACCCACTCATTCATTCATTCAACAAACATTTATCGAGCACCTACTGTGTACCAGTCACAGTGCCAGCTCTGTAGAGATAGCAGTGAACCAAATGAAATCTTTGCCTTGTGGAGCTTACGTTCTAATGAGGGGGGAGGGGAGGAAGACAGAAAATAAACAGTGGCCCAAAGAGCAGATAAATCCCCCCCAAGAGTCAGAACTGTGGTGAACTGGGAGCCCAGGCCCCTTCTAAAGTGGACATCCAATTCCCAACTCTAGTGTTTGTTGCTGTGTGGGAATGTGGGCCCAGGGGGACAGACATTCTGATTTTTATATGTGGTAGCTAATTTACATTAAAGAGCCAATTGTGTGTAGGCTGATCAAAGCACCTCCGGGGCATGATTTGTCCCAGGAGGCTCCAGTGTGCAGCCCTGACCTACTTTCTGGGGGCAGCAGGGAAAGTGGTGGGATGGGGGAGAATAGGCAGGGCACTCTGCTGGGCTCCAAGGGGGCACAGCAGCTGAGTGTGGCCATCACTGCCAATGATCCCCAGTGCTGGGTTCAGTCTTAGAGGTGTCCAGAATGGGCCACCCAGGGCCAAGCGGTATGGGCTAGAGTGAGGATAATGTGGGCAGTCCATTTCCGTGGCCATGTTCAGCCTGCCCTGTGGCTGCTGCCGGGCCTCTTCCCTCTCCCTCCCTTTGCCCATATTCAGTCCTCAATAGCTGGAGATCCCAGGCCGACAGCCTTCCTGTGAGATCTGGAGCAGCCTTCGCCTGACATTCACTCTGCAGAGGCTCAAAACACTATGTTTAAAGAAACCTGATGGTCACAGGGTGTGACTCGTTTCCATCAATAGAGTCTTCCCAGTGACTGCCCTGCTTACCTGATCTTGTTTAGGTTGAGCATAACTCGGTTACCTTCGGTGTAAAACTGAGCCTCCGAACTAGCTTCCTGTAAGAAGAGAAGGCCATGCCCCATTTATTCTAAGAGGATGAGTCAAGCGTGGGCATGGGAGTTATGCAAAGAGCCTCTAGGGTCAAGGTGACACAGTCTGAATCTCAGCTACTGGCTCTGTGACTTTGAGAAAGGGTTTAACCTCTCTGGGCCTCATTTTCCTCATCTATTAAATGGGATAATAACTGTACTCACTCCTTACTTAACAGATTCAACATAGAATTGTTGTGGGGAACAATGATGATGACGACAATGACAGTGCTATGTATGGAGCCTTCACCGTGTGCTGGGCCATGTTTTAAGAGCTTTATATGATTATCTCCTTTAATCCTCACAACACTGTGAGGTGGGTTCTCTTATTACCCCACTGTAGAGGTGAGGAAAATGAGGGACAAAAAGGATAAGCAACTACCTGGTAAATGTTAACCATCGTTGGAATGGTTCATCATTATTGGAAAGACCAGAAGTTAAGCTGGGCCCCAAATATGGGGGCCAAAGATATGCACAAATTCGACCTCTGGGCTGGGGTAACCCTGAGGGCAGTGTGGCAGGCTCCAGCTCCAGGTCAGCTGCACCCAGAGAGCAAACTTGTCCTGCAGCCCTGAGCTTGGGTGGCCTTTTGAAAAGTGCCTGCCATTGACCAGGGAAGGTGCCAGCAGGGAGTGAGGCTGAGCGGGGTATGTGTCCGTGGAAATCAGAGTGTCCTTCAATCCAGGAAACCAGGGCACTGTGTAAACAAGTCCAGGGGCACCATTCCCCTTGTAGCCTTTGTGAACAGCAGCCCCTGAAATTGTATGGTAGACAGCTGTATGAAGCAACCCTGCTGTAAGGATATGGTCAACATTAGCCTCCAATTAAGAAGTCCTCCTAAGACTCTTTGGTAAAGCATATACCCATTATACCCATTGCTGTCGAGTTCATTTTGACTTATAGTGACCCTAGAGGACAAAGCAGAACTGCCCCATAGGGTTTCCAAGGAGCAGCTGGTGGATTCAGACTGCTGACCTTTTGGTTAACAGCCAAGTTCTTAACACTGTGCCAGTGCCCAACTACAAATCTTGCCTCGTCTCTCTCTTCTTCTTTGTCTTCTATAGGGGATGGTGTGGGCACCCCACTCAGAACCCCTTTCCAGGGTGGGCATCCATCCCTCAGCTGCTGTTGGTATTGCTGCTTATGGTTCACGCCTGCACCTTCTCTCCCTTCTCCAGAGAATTGCCCTCGCTTGAACAGAGCTGCCTTGCTGGGAGGTTATGTTCCCCCGGGAGCCATTGATAGCTAATGATGGACTGACAAGGGGGTACCAAAGGCCAGTCTTCTTGTCTCAGTGTGGGCTCAACTCTGTGGGCCCATGAGGGGATAGCCAGCCTGAGGCTGAAGGCTGCCAGATGGGGAGAGAGAAGAATGAAGACAAGATTGTTTGTGCACCTGGATTCAGCTATTCCCAAAAGCAACATCTAGACTTTTCAGTTATATGAGCTAATACAATTCCTCTTATGCCTGTGAGTTAAGTTTCTGCCCAAAGATCCCTAATAAATTTAAAGGTCCAGAGTTGCATCCCCAGAGCTCCTAAGTCTTGGTTCAGAGCTCTTCCCCTTCCCCATCCCTGCTGGGTGACAAGAGTGGTGCAAATGTTTAGCAAAGCAGGAGAGGTAAACAGGAAGAGAGAACGGGAGGATTCTCCAGGCTGCTGCCAATGTCACAGACTACTGAACTCACAATGCCCAGGGTGAAGAAGGGACAGCCAGCTTCATTGGTGGCGAACACCTCAAACACGATCTGCTGGGCCACCTTGGCATTGCCCTCACGCAGAAGGAGAACGGGGGTATTCTGGGTGAAGATCTTCACAATCTGTGTGGGCCCCAACTGATTCGCAGCCTAGAAGGACATCAGACCCACATGTGGCTTCCCAAGTACCTCACACATGGCCCCACATGGCCTAGCCTTGATGACCTTCCTTTGCCTCCCTGCTTCCTCTCTGCGCTCCAGCCACAGTGCCCTTCTTCAAGATCCTTGAATGCATTGTCGTTCTTCCCACCTCATAGCCTTTGGTTTTGCTGTTCCCTCTGCCTGGAATACCCTTCCCTTCAGGGAAGCACTCCCTGATCCTCGAAACTGTACCAGCTGCTCGCATAACCCCTAGAGCCTGTCGTTGGTCACTGCACTTGGAACTGAGGTATTATTTGCGTAAGTATTTGATTCAGGTCAAACTGCCCTGTTAGACTGACATCTCTGTGAGGATGGGAACCAGCCCTGTTAAAGTCATAGCGCTAGAAGGAAAGCAAGCACTCACACATGTTCTTCTCCCCAGAGGCCCATGTACAGACCCAGAAAACACCCATCAAGCTGCAGATCGCAAATGGACTGACCTTTTCACTGATCAGACTGATACTGGACTTCAGCTGACGGGCCAGCTTGGGAAACTGAGGGCGAGAGGAAGTCAGAGCAGGTCAGCCAGAGGGTCAAGGCGAAACATGTCTCTTGTACCCCAGTGCTGGAATGAAGGTTTCCTAGAACCCCAGAAAAGCTGGGTGAGCCAGCTGGTCCAGGCCACATGTGTGTCACTGTCAGAAAAACAGCCCCTCTGTCAGCTGCCATGGGGCAAGGGGCCCTTATTGACGCAAACTTTTTCGTGCGGGTTGGTGGTGGTCATGGATTTGTGGGCTGTTCCCCACTCCCAGAGGACATATAGAAGTGACCCTGATTCTTACCATAGTCATTAATGTGGTTGCTAGTGACCAATTCTATTTTCTCACCATCCCAGCCCCTTACTCTGAGTTCTAATCTTTAAGAACTTCGTTATTAATTGCCTGTCAGCTGACCTGAATTCCTGCCACCCTCCCATGACTTTGGGCCAAAACTTTTCCCCCTCTGGGCCTCAGTTTCCTTCTCAGTCACCCTGGAGGAGATGGCACATTCTAGTTGACTATTGGTGGTTGTCTGCTGTGCTGTGTTGATAAGGATTCTGAGGCTGAGTCCACATCCAGGAGGAATAGGAAGGAGGGCCCTGATTGATTAGTGATGTCTGCCATGGGCCCCCTACTGGAGAGCAGCAGCACAATTGCCATTCCTGGACTGCCTAGTATCTAAGATGTATCTGTCATCTCTGGACTACTCAGTATCTAAGACACCCTTTGGCTCAACAGGACTTTATCTGGTGGAGGATGCAGACGTATCAGGTTCCAGAGGGCAGAATAAGACAGGGACTGAACCTTACAGGGAGGATTTTGGGTCTGTTAGAGTAGGGATTGAGCTATTACTGGAGGGATTTAAATGAGTCTGACAGGGGATTCCTGTTTGGGACCCTAGGGGCCCCCGCACCCTCTTTCATTTAGGTAATTCCCATGATGCAGTAGAGGTGGCCCCCATCCTCTGCCCCATGCCAAGGCTTACCACGTGGTCCAACAGGACTGCAAGTTTTTCTGGAGAGAGCAAGGCAACCACTGCAGAATTTACCACATCCTGCCTCACAATGAGGCTAAAAGGGGCACTGTTCAAGGTGGGCAATGTCAGGGACGCCAAAGAGTCATTGAACATGTTGGTCACCTTTCCTTGCGAGTCCGACAACTTGGCCTGAGGAGACACAGAGTAAGGAGTTGACTGAGAATTTAAACTCCACAGCTTACCCTGTAACAATCTAGAAGGAAATGACACCTTTCAGCTTGTTTCTCTTTGTGCATTTGCTGCCAGGAAGCTTAGCCTGGAATTCAGTGCCTTGGTATAGGCAGAGTTGGCAATATCTACTCCACCTGCAACCTTCAGATAATTTCTGACTTTTATTTTTTTTAACTCGAATGTCTAATTTTGTGCTTACGTTTCAACTTCTCAGGTACCTCAAACCATTTGGCTAAAGGGATAATTCAAAACTGCAACAAAATGGGTAGAAATGGTTGATGCTGCAATTTCCCAAGAGAGCCATGAAAGCTAGAGTCTGAGGTTCACACAGCCTGGGTTGGCCTGGTCCCTCAGGGAGTCCAGCACAGTGTGGATGTGTGGCTTTACATTTCAGAGAGCACTAACATTTACTGGGCATTTCCTGTCTGTCAGGCCTTGTGCAATCTCATTTCATCCTCTCCCAGTGACTATTATTACCTAAATTTTACAGACAAAGAAACTGAGGATCAGAGAGGTGAAGAAAACTTGTCCAAAGTCGCAGAGCCAGGGGCCCAAACTTCATCAAATGGGGGGAAAGACAGTCTTTTTAACAAATGGTGCTGGCAAAAAAATGAAGCAGATGTCCATCTGCAAAAAAATGAAGCAAGATCCATACCTCACACCATACACAAAAACTAATTCAAAATGGATCAAAGACCTAAATATAAAACCAAAAACTGTAAAGATCATAGAAGAGAAAATAGGAACAACGCTAGAGGCCCTAAAACATGGCATTAACAGTATACAAATCATAACTAACAACACACAAACTCCAGAAGATAAGCTAGAGAACTGAGATCTTCTAAAAATTAAACACTTACGCTCATCAAAAGACTTCACCAAAAGAGTAGAAAGAGAACCTACAGACCGGGAAAAAAATTTTGGCTATGACAAATCTGACAAAGATCTAATCTCTAAAATCTACAGGAAAATCCAACACCTCTACAACAGGAAGACAAATAATCCAATTAAAAAATGGGCAAAGGAAATGAACAGACACTTCACCAAAGAAGACATTCAAGTGGCTAACAGACACATGAGGAAATGCTCGAGATCACTAGCCATTAGAGAAATGCAAATCAAAACCATAATGAGATACTATCTCACCCCTGGGTTACTGGCATGAATTAAAAAAACCCAGAAAATAACAAATGTTGGAGAGGCTGCAGGGAGACTGGAACTTTTATGCACTGCTGGTGGGAATGCAAAATGGTACAACTATTTTGGAAAACCATATGGGGCTTCCTCAGAAAGATAGAAATACCTATGATCCAGCAATCCCACTCCTAGGAATATATCCTAGAGATATAAGAGCTGTCACATGAATAGACACATGCACACCGATGTTCACTGCAGCACTGTTCACAATAGCAAAAAGATGGAAACAGCCTAGATGCCCATCAACAGATGAATGGATAAACAAACTATGGTACCTACACACAATGGAGTACTCTGCAACCACAGTGATGAATCTGTGAAACATCTCATGACATGGCTGAATCTGGAGGGCATTATGCTGAGTGAAATAAGTCAATCACAAAGACAAATATTGTATGAGACCACTGCTGTAAAAACTCACGAAAAGGTTTATACACAAAAAGAAACAATCTTTGATGGTTACGAGGGACAATAGATAAGTGGTAACTTTGGTGACAGGTAAGACAGCACACAATACTGGGGAAGCCAGCACACACACACATACACACAAAGTCGCGTAGCCAGAGAGTACTGGAACTGGGAGAGAAACAGGTCTGTGCGATTCTCAGTGATGTGTTTTGATCCTGGGATCAGCCAGGGGCTCTTGTTTTCAAGATTGCCAGAGATCTGGGGACTGGTAGGGCTTGCCTGCGAGAAAAGCTAACAGCCCCAGAGCACACACTCCTGGCCCTGCTTGGTGAAATCAGGGTTGGAGAACAAATCTCCCTGGGGCGATGTTCTGTGTGTGGCCCTTGGGTTCCACCTGCTGGTTTTTTCTTCCTCACATGGTTTGCGTGGAGCGTGCTCAGCCTGTTGTGACTTTTCTGAATTGGCCTTTGTGTCCTCACTGTAGCTGGTGTTCTCTCCCCTGAAATAGACCATGGTGTCTGACCCTTGGCTGTCAGGGAAGGCCCTGGGACACTTACCCTCAGGTTGAGCTGGATGGCACTACTTTTGATGGCAGGAGACAGAAGTTCAAACTCCAGGTGGGTAAAGCCAAGGGAAATGGGCACTGCTCACGGAAAAGAAGAAAGCTCTGTGAGAGTGGAGGATAGTGTGGGATGGGGTGGAATGATGCAGGGAAGGAGCAGGAGTAATAATGATGCTGTTGATAACGATGACTGATATTTATATGCTTAATACTAATATTTATGCTTAACAATAACCCTAGGAAGTAGGTCCTGTTATTACCCCATTTTACAGATAGAGAAACCAAGGCTCATAAAAGTGGAGTGACTTGTTCAAGGTCATATACATTGAGAAGATTTGAACACCAGTCAGCCCTATGCCAAACTTCTGGTTCGGGACAAAACTTAACTACTGCTCGTAACTCTCCATCTCCTTTACTAGACTGACCCGCACCCGCAGCACGGGTAGGATCTGGGTCTGGGCGCCTGTATGTCCACGGGATCCCGTCTGTTCGCTTCGGGATTCCCCACTTGGCCGCTAGGTGGCGGTGGCATCGCGTCTGCCCAGGGATGCTGGGACCGGAGAAGGGCGATGAAGGTGGAGGTGCGGGCCTGGACTAGCAATTCTCCAGCCTGCTCGACCCTTGGCCCTGCCCACCCCTCCAGGAGATCTCCCGCCCGGCCCCTGGAGAGCAGAGGAGCCAGGCAGACCTGGATCCTGGATCGGAGCGCTAGTTACCTCGGTTAGTTTCTTCCCGCCTCTGAACCTGTTTACTCATCTTAAAATGGGGTATAAAAGTAATACCTGCATCATAGGGTTGGACAGAACTCGCACCTAGTAAGAGCATAATAAAACTGGCTCAAATCTGAGTGACTTCAGACTTGGAACTGGAAGAATTGGGTTCAGGCCTTTCCCTATCACTAATTTCCTCTGTGACTTTGGACAAATGACTTAATTTCTCAGAGCCTCAGTTTCCTCATCTGGAGGTGGGGTAATGATTGCTACTTCATAGGGTTGTCTGAGGAGTCAGCAAGACAGTGTATATAAAATGCCCAGCCCAAGGGCTTGGCTCATAGTTAATGCTTGGCCCATAGTTAGTGCTCAGTGTGTATTAATTACGTTCTGTTCCTTCTGCTTCTCTCTTGAATGAGCCTCTTCAGATCCCAAAACAGTAGATGGTAGGCTTTTCTTCCCCCACCAATCTCCACTCTGCAGAAGTCCATGTCCTCCCATCCCTGCTACTCTTAAAAAAACCAAACTCATTGCCGTTGAGTTGATCCCGACTCATAGTCCCTATAGGACTCATAGCAACCCTATAGGATAGAGTAGAACTGCCCCATAGGGTTTCCAAGGAGAGACTGGTGGATTCAAACTGCCGACCTTTTGGTTAGCAGCCATAGTTCTTAACCACTGCACCACCAGGGCCCCCTGCTACTCTTAGGGAGAGGGAAATGACCTCTTTCCTGGGCACGGATCTTGTCTCTTCCCTTGTACCCTCTTCCATAGTACACTGTGGTTGCTGTATCATTCACTCACTCATTCAGCACACTTTTGTAAGCACATCTCTGTGCCAGGCAGAGAAGCTGGTATGTGCCTGGAACTTTTAATCTCCACTAACAATCCTATGAGGTAGGGATGTATAACCTTCATTTTACAGACAAGAAAATTGAGGCTAAAAGGAGGTGGAGTGGCTTGCTCAAAGGGATGAAGCAAGTCAGTGGCAGAGCTGGGATTTGAACTTGAGCTTATCTGGGGTTCCGGGGCCCAACTTTCCCACTGCACCTGCTGGCCTCACATAGAACCTTGTGCATAGTAGGTGCTTGTGAAGTTACAGTTGTGAATTCCTGTCTGCTCGTCCTGGGCAGGAGATCACCTGCAGCTCATCCCACCTGCTGCTGGGCCCACGTTGCTGGTCAGGCTTGACTGGCTCAGTCCTAAAGGAAAGAGTCAGGAGAGAGAGCAGGACACCTACCTCTCACCAGGCGCAGGAGGTCAGCACACACGTCCTCAAAGGCCGCTCTGATCACTGGACACAGCTGCAACAGCACAAACGCAGGAGCTTCATCAGTGAGGGGCTGGGGATGCACTGAGCTTCTCGCCCCCAACACTGCCAGCGGTTTTCCACTTGGGACTATTTCACCCCCCAGGGGACATTTGGCCATTACTGGAGTCATTTTAGTTGTCACAACTTGGGGATGCTGTGCTACTGGCATCTAGTGGGTAGAGGCCATGGACGCTACTAAACATCCCACCATGTACAGGAGAGCCATCCTTTCCAACAAAGAATTATCTGACCCTAAATGTCATCTCTAGTGCTGAGGTTGAGAGATCTGGCCTACCCTACTCCTGGTCTCACCTGTTCTGTTTAAGGAAGAGGTTACATATTTGACTCACATGGCCTGTGGGACCCAAAGGCTGTGGTCTCTGCTTTGAGGCAGCCTATTTTCTAGGGCAGTACTCCAAAGTTGTTTAAGTTCAGTTTGTTATAGATATAATTGCCCTAGTAGAAGAACCTTCTAGTCGACCACTTCTTACTACTCTCAAGAAATAACAATGCACTTTGAGAAATATTAATCTTTTTCTATGAATAACCTATCCCTGTTCCTAGATGCTTTGCTGACACAGAACCAGAGAGACTAGAGACTCCCAGCATGCACTACCAAGGGACCGTCCATTCCTCGTGCATCTTCTCCCTCAATTTGCCTTCCTTCATTCCCACCAGTGGGTCTCAACCCTGGCTGCACATTAGAATTCTCTAGGAGAGCTAGAATCCTCTGGGATACAAGGCCTCAACCCAGACCAATTATATCACAGTCTCTCCCAGGAGGTTCTGAGGTGCAGCCTGGGTTGAGACCAACAGATTTATACTGGAAGGGGCTCATTTAGTATTTTTCAAATGGACTTCTGCCAGATGTCCCCCATTCAAACGTGCTGTTCCTTTTCCCCTCATGTCAAATAAAATATTCATATGACCACTGTGTCAAATCCAGTGTCATGGTGGGAAATTGTGTGATAATGGAATACCAGTTTCTCAAATCTTAGCTATATTTGGTGTTTCACCCTTAAAAACAGATACTATGCAAAGAACATATTATAATCTCATGCTCTTGCCATTTTTTTTTCCTAGTGGAAAAGACATTTTTAGCTATCAAAGTATGATGCCAGATAAAATATGATTTTGCTGGAGGCTGGGAAAAAATTTACAGTAGGGCTCTACTTTGAGAAATTCCCACTTTTAAATAGAAAAAAAAAATTCTCAGAAGAAAAAATATCTCCCATTGGAAAAGCTAAATTTTGCAAAATTATTCAAGTTTAGATTCTTTTAAAAAGGCTCCCTGGAATGGTTTAGTATGCTATTAAATATAATGCAGCTGTTACAATAATTATGAATATTATACAATGGCATAGAAACATGAGTATAATTTAAAGAATATCAAATAGTATTTATACCAAGTGCTGCCATATAAAAATATGAGCACATGTGAATGGAGATTGGAAGGCAATATGCAAAAGAGAAAATAGTTACTCCATTAAAATAGACTGTTTTCCAAAATTGTTTTAGTCATCACATCATCTTTTCAATTAAAAAAGTTGTATTATATCATGGAAGCTCCAGAGACACATCCATACTCCCTGAGGGACTGAATTACTGGGCTGAGGGCTGTGGGGACCATGGTCTTGGGGAACATCTAGCTCAACTGGCATAACATAGTTTACAAAGAAAATATTCTACATTCTGCTTTGGTGAGTAGTGTCTGGGGCCATCTAAGTAGTGTGAGCGGCCATCTAAGATACTCCACTGGTCTCACCCCTTCAGGAGCAAGGGAGAATGAAGAAAAATAAAGACTTAATGGCAAGATTAGTCCAAAAGACTAACAGACCACAACTATCACGGCCTCCACCAGACTTAGTCCAGTCCAACTAGATGGTGCCAGGCTACCACCACTGACTGCTCTGACAGGGATCACAGCAGAGGGTCCCGGACAGAGCTGGAGAGAAATATAGAACACAATTCTAACTCACAAAAACAGACTAGACTTACTGGCCTGACAGAGACTGGAGAAACCTCGAGAGTATGGACCCCAGACACCCTTTCAGCTCAGTAATGAAGTCACTCCTAAGGTTCACCCTTTAGCCAAAGATTAGACAGGTCCATAAAACAAAATGAGACGAAAGGGGCACATCAGCCCAGGGGCAAGCACTAGAAGGCAGGAGGGGACAGGAAAGCTGGTAATAGGGAACCTAAGGTCGAGAAAGGAGAGTGTTGACGTGTCATGGGCTTGTTAACCAATGTCATAAAATAGTATGTGTACTAACTGTTTAATGAGAGGCCAGTTTGTTTTGTAAACCTTCATCTAAAGCACAATTTAAAAAAACGACATCAAGGGGTCAATAATTAAAAAAAAAAAAAAGAAACCAAAAATGTTTTATTATATATATATATAAAAAAAATCAGCTGTTTGACAAGGTGTTTTGACCCCCCAGGAGGGGTGGCCCATTGTTGCCAACACATATGGAATTTTCAGCAGAAGTCAAAGGCCAAAGTGGATGAATCCTACTTAAAATGCTTTAGTTTACTCGAGACATAGAAGAGATGTATAAAATGAGATGGATGTGTCTTTGCTGATTCAGAAAAATAAATCCTACAGGACTTTGTGGGTGGCAGACCCCTGAAGACCACAGCCAGGCTGATTTGAGATAGGGGTGTGCTAGAACCAGCTCGCACTGACTTGCAAGGACCAATTGTTAAATTTTCAGGATTTTCTGATCTGAGTGTAAAATCTAGCCATTATGAAAAATTAAATTATATAAACTTACAATTAAATAAATTATATTAAAAACAAAGGTTAGAAAAAAAACCCTCAAAATTTATTCATTCCTAGTTATTTTACTATTATCCATGGCTCTTGAGGTTATTTACCTTTATTGTATCTGTATGGTGGAAATACTATTCAATAGTGTGCTACTGCACATCTCTTCCCAACTCTGTGTTCTGAGAAGTTGCATTGGTAGCTTGAGATCAGCCATGGAAGGAATATCTATACCATGGAAATCAGCAAATGCTGCAAACCAGGGCTCCCTCCCCTCACCCTTTCCAGAGTTCATTGTTAAACATTTTCCAGCACATCAGGTTATCAGCATAAGTCATCCTGGCAGACTTTTGGGAATTCCAGTACCTTGATCTCAACAATCTACCTCAGTCAATGGCCCCATCCCTTGCTCTTTGCTCAGCCACCATGCCTGAAAGAATTAGCCAGCCCCAGAAGTTTCCCTCCCAAGGACACTCAAGTCCCTTAGCACCAGCTTGCGGTTCCACCACAGCCCTACAGGGGGAACAACCCTCACAGGCCAGAGAGGTCCTGATTCCACTCACCTCACTTATCACCATTTGGGGCAGGGTCGGCACCAGGAAGCCCATGACCTTGTTGGCTAAGAAGTTGACCAGGAAGGAGAACCTTCACAAGAGGAGAAGGGATAGAGGGATTAAAAAGGGTCAGAGATAATCACCCCTCTTCTATTTTACAGAAGGGGAGATCAAGTCCAGGGAGGAAGGAACCTGCCCAAGGCCACACAGCCTGTTACGGATAGAGCTGGGTGTAGACCCTGAGCCAGGTGGAGACAGTGACAGAGAGTTCTCCGGGAACAGGGTCTGGGGGTGGGGTTGTCTTGAAACTTGTGCTGGGCTTTGGGGTGATGGGGGTTCTCATGTCTCCCCATTCTCCCGCTAAGGAGAAGTGAAGGGAAGCACAGTGTTTTTGAACACCTATCACGTGCCACAGACTGTTCTGAGTGCTTTATGGCTATTGGCCTGATCTAATCGTCTCCCTGCTGCCTGGAGGATATCATCAACTCCACTTTACAAATGAGGAAGGTGAGGCATAGAGAGGTGAAGTGACGTGCCCAAAGTTGCCTAGATAGTAAATGAAGGAGCTGTGTTTGCCTGACTCCAAAGACTTTATTTTTACACTGTGGCTCCACCTGAGTGTCCTTGTTCTACCTCCTGGCATGGTGCCCAAAATCTTACCATTATTGTTTCTGCCCTTGATGTCTTGAACTCTCTTTGACATTACAGATTCCCTGGTATTACAGATTCCCAGATTGAAAGTCAGGAGGATTAAGTCCCTTTCTTTCTCCGGGTCTCAGTGTTCTCCATCTGTAAAATGGGGAAAGACCACTCCCTGGCTTCCCTCCCAGGCGTGATTGGAGCCCAGCAGGGAGCTGGTTGCACTCACTTGCGTAGCAGGATGATGTGCAGCCTCCCCTGGCTAGTGAGGCAGTTGGTGAGGATGAAGCGGCTGTGGCCCCGCTCGCTGCTCTCCACTTGGATGATGGCTTGGACCTCAGCCTCTATGCGCATCTGCACAATGGTCTTGACCAGAGGCCTGGGGGGTGGAGGTGCCAGACCCTGTGAACACCTTCCACGTCCAAGGCTGGAGTAAACCTGCTGTTCATCTGTCATTTGGCTCTCTTCCATTCTGTCTGTTTTCTTCTCAGTCTCCTTTGCTGGTTTCTCCTCATCTCCCCAACTTCTTTTCCCTAGCATGTTCCAGACTCGAGTTTTGGATTCCTCTCCTGATTTAAAACCCATCCACATGACAACAGTTTCCAAACTCATACCCCACTCCTTACTCAGATGTCTTTACAGGCATCTCAAATTTAACGTGTACAAAACTGAACTCCGGATTATTTCCCAAACTTGCTTTCCCATCTTGGGTACTGGCCACTCCATCCTTCCAGTTGCCGAGGCAAAAACCTTGGTGCCACCCTTAACTCCTCTCTCACTCCACATTAAATATACCAGGAAATCCTGTTATCTCTACTTGCCTTCAAAACAGCTCCAGAATTCAAGCACTTCTTACCACTTCCCTGCCCCCACAACCCTGGCCCAAGCGGTCATTGTCACCTCCTGATTTATCGCAATGGTTTTTTTGCTGGCCTCCCTGCCTCCACTTTTGATCCCACAGCAGTCAAAATGTTAAGTCATGTCATGTCCCTCCTCTGCTCAGAACCCTCCATTCTCCCGTCTTACTCAGTAAAAGCCAAATCCCCACTGTGACCCACTAGGCCCTGCATGATCTAGTTCCAGCTGCCTGCTGACCTCACCTCCCACCACTCTCCCCGTCACACATCCCACTTTCCTTGCCATTCTTTGAGCACGGCAAGGCTCTTCCTTCTTTTTAGAACTCTTTTCCTGATACCTTCATGGAGGGAAGGGCAGAGGGGATGAGTGGATAAACCTACCAGACCCGCTGTGCCAGACTGAGGAGACACTCACGTGTTAAGTCCAGCCACCATGTCCAATGGGATCTTGACCATTAGATTCTGGCTGGCCTCTGAGGGTTGCACCTGCAGCTGGAGGAGATTGGCTGAGGTGACCTTCAGCCTGAATGGGACATGGAGAGATGAGAATCTTGCCTCATGCTCAGCTGAGCATCATCCTCAAACTTGCTCCCTCTCTATCTTTTCCGCCTCTGCTGGGTGCCTGGCCAGCAGCTGGGCCCCAAGCCTTGTCCATTGACTCCTCGCCAGCATGGTCTGGGTCCCATCCCTCCCCTCCACCCTGCTCACGCACTATGATGATTCCCCTCACTTAGATGATTAATTCCAGCTCCTTGGACTGACCTTTAAGACTCTCTGTGACCCAGCCCCTCTTTTTACTCCTCACTCTGGGCTGGAGCTCCAGCCATTCTGATGGACTCTCACACCTCTGTGCCTTTGCCCAGGTTGGCCCTTCTGCCTGGACTACCATTATCTTCTTGTCTCCTGGTGAACTCTGAGTCATTGGCTCAAGGGTCACCTCCACTGAGAAGAGTCATCTCATTCCCACCCCAGGTGACCTTCCTCTGGGGTTACTGCTATAAGATTTCCTGTGTCACTGTCTTGTGGTTATTGTTAACTACTCTGGAAGCTTCTCAAAGGAGAAGCTTAGTTTGATTCATTTGCCATAGCCGGGCACAGAGTTGACACAATTTGATGTTTGTTGACTAAGGATGTGTTCAGGGCAGAGGTGGGGAGAAGGAACTAGCTCCCAAGTTTGTCCTGCTTCACGTACCAGAAGATATAGTTCTTGACAGCATTCACCAGGCCACTCAGAAAAGGGATGCCCCAAGACTTCTGCTTCTGCACGGCACTAAGCAATGGCAGCTGCTGAAGGATTCCGGCGGCATTACGGTTCTTCAGCGACTGTGTCAACTCTGGAGGAAGATCCCAGGATTAGGGTCCAGGGGGGAGGCAAGAAGGATGGCTGGGGGGGTGCTTCAAGCTGGGGAGGGGCATCACGAAGGGATACTCGGACCCTGATAATGAGGTGAGAGTGTGGATGGCTCCATCCTGACCATTTCCACTGTATAGATGGGACCTGGAGGATGATGGCCCAGATGGGTCATTTTCAAATGAGGAGTGAGGCTGGGGCACGGGTGGGGCCATTCACACCCCTGGGCATTGCCAGCCTTTGCCAGGTGGGTTGGCAGGTACACCTGGCACATTGACTTGTATCCCTCCCACCAGCCAGTGGACAATACCTCCACAGCCAAGAGGTGGGGACCCCACAAGGCACTGTTTGGGACAGTTTTATTGCCAAAACACAATTGTTAACAATTCTCTGGTATCCACATCTGAAGGGCCTCCGGTGCTGAGCAGAGAAAAGAGTGAGCAGGGCCAGGGGCCAGTGAGTCAGGAGTCCTGGGGGCTGGTTCCTCTAGACTTGCTATGTGATCTGAAGCGCAGTGTGTCCAGCTGCCAATGGAGATGGAACCTGTGTGCTCCACCCCCATTCCCTCGACACACTGCTCACTGTGAACATCCCAGAATCTCTGCCTGAGGACTTTTTTTCTGGCAGCGAGAGCCCATTTGGCCTATGTGCAGAGAAGACCAGAGTGCCGGAGAGTTGGTGCCCCAGAAGCAGCCCTCAGCCAATGACTGATGAGCCAGCTCCTTCAATCCTCAGGTGAGACAACCCAAGTGTATGGTCTCAACTGTCTTCAAGAACTCCTGTGCTCATTATCAAGTTATTGCCTCTCAACTCCACATCCATACTTTTTGCCTGCCCTGTGATAATGGAGATGGGCCCTATAAATATTTCTCCTTTGTCAGTTGTCACAGTGTTAAGCCCTGTTAGTAGAGGATCTGGAGGGACACTACAGGAGGAAAGGGCTTCCCTTCCTGGCCCAGGTGTGCACCTCTTGCTAGTCTCCTGTGGTGTCAGTGCCCAGTGGCTTCATGTTGCAAGTTCAGTGGCACTCCCAAGGGCAGCTAGTGAGTTCTCTGAGCTCCCCAGCTCACTTCCAGGCATTTTCCCAGGACAGACTCCCAGTGAGTTAACAGCAACCCCCCTTTCTCCGTGGAGGGATTCCCAGAGAATTTCACAGGCATCTCAGCAGATGGGTCTCTGCCCGCTAGCCTCAGCCTGCCAGTTGCGGACCATCTCTGGCCTGGGACAACCCAGCAAACTCCACCACCCAGTAAGCTTCAACCACAACCTCTCCAGTGAAGTTTGAACCTCAGCCTTGGAGAGGATTCTCCCCCTCCAAGTTTGTTCTGTCCTTGTGTATACACACCCCATCCTCAGGGTGTTCTTTAGAGTTCCCTTTCTTTTCTCTCTTAGCCAATTTCCCATTACGCCAACCCCCTGAGAACAATTCTTTCTATTAAATTTTCCTGTTGAGAGTACTGTGTGGTTTCTGTCTCCTGATTGACCCTAACGAAGACAGGACTGAGCTTCGGTCCCCAGAATGGTAAATGGCTTAGACATGGAACTTTTATAGTTGCCTTTCCTTCCCTGACTTGCTCCCTACTCTCCTGCAGGTGTTTCCTGGGATCACTTCCCAAACCAGCAGCTTGTATTCAATGCCTTGACTCAGATTCTGATACTGAGGGAACCTAAACCACAGTTGTTGATCTCCAAGTTCCTTCTGGTTTAACTTCTCAGTGTGAGCCCAGAGCACCTCTACTTCCTCCTGCAGCCCCCTAGAGCTGTCTGCTGCCTGTCCTGCTTGGGGATCAAAGCTCTTGCCCATCCAGCCCTGGCTCAGGACCACTGAATAAAGAAGTTTGGTCCTATAAGTGCTTTAATGGTGGACTTCCTGAGCTAACTGAGCATCCATCTCCCTAAGGAGAACACTTGAGAACAGTGGTTCTCAACTGGGGACAAATTTTTCCCCAGAGGATATTTGGCATGTCTGGAGACATTTCTGATTGTCACAGTTGAGCCTGGAATGCTGCTAAGCATCCTGTAATGTACAGAATAGCTCCCCACAACAAAGAGTTATCTGGTTCCAAAGGTCAGTAATACTGAGTTTGAGAAGCCCAGGTGTAGGGTTTATAAAGCTCTTCTCAATTCCCATCTTATTGGGTGCTCACAATCACCCTGTGAGGTAGGCCCTTTTGTTTGTTCCAGAGGAGGAAACCAAGGCTCAGGGACTCACAGAGGGTCACACAGCTGGAAAGGGATAAAGCTGTGCCAGGGACCCAGGCCATGAGACCCCCAGTCAAGGGCCTTTGCTCTGGGGAATAGGAGGACACTTGGTCTAACTCAGAGGAGGCAGCTGATGGTGGGATTTCAGGCAAGGGCTGTGGCAGGGGCAGTTACATCATCACACGTGGTGGCCATGCACGCCCTATGAAACCCAGAAGACCTGTTGTGTCAAGTCGATTCTGACTCATAGCGAACCTAGAGGACAGAGTAGAACTGTCCCATAGGATTTCCAAGGAGTGGCTGGTGGATTCGAACTTCCAATCTTTTGGTTAGTAGCTGAGCTCTTAACCACTGCTCCACCAGGCCCCCTCCTCTGAAAGACATGGAAACTTTGAGTGGGGGATTCATGGCACCCCAGAATCATGGAACTGAATTATGGAATGAAGGAGACAGGACTCTCAGAATCATGGGCTCTTGAGATCATAGACATCCCAAACTTCATAGCTCATCCACTCAAGTCTCATCCCAGAGCTGTGTCTTGCACACCCCCAGTGATGGGGAACTCCCTCCCTCCTTTGGAAGGCTACTCTACCTACCCCCTTGCCTTATAGTGATGAGACCTGGTGGCCAAGACTTACTTTCTTTGATGACTTCTGGGCCTAGGCTGAGAACCGCAGGGGGGCTGAGGGTGGCTTGGACCAAAGTGGCTGCCAGCAAACCACAGATGAGGGTGAAGGTCCATGGGCCAGCCATCTTCCTGGGGGTCAGTAAGCAGCAGGTGGCCGATGTCAGGACCTAGGGTGAGTACAGAGGGCCCTGTTTGTTGGGCAGAGCGGCCAAGGACAGGCCCACCATGCCTGGTGAATTAGAGCATGGTGTCCAGAGAGGCTATTTAGGGCAGTGGTTAAGAGTGTGGGCTCTGGAGCCTAACTGCCTAGGTCTATGCCCTTGCTCTGCTGCTTGCTAGTCGTGTGGCCTTAGACAAGGAACTAAACTTTCTGTCCCTCAGTTTTCTCATCTGACAAATGGGCATAATACCTACTTAATAGAGTTGAATAAATGAGTTAATATCTAGAAAGTATTTAGCACAGTGTCTATCACATAAGCACTTGGAAAATGTTAGCTGTTTTCATACAGGAAAACCACAATGAGTGCCCAGGATGAAACACAATCTGCCTCAGCCTGGCACTTAAAACCCTCTATGATCCAACCTCAGTCAGCCTCACCTCCCGCTTTCCCCTCTCTCGCTCTATAGAGTCCCAGCCTTTCCAAGGTGCTTGAAGTTCTCAGAACATGCCTGCTTCTGTTTGTGTCTGTGCCTTTTCCCTTGCTCTTCTTGCTTCCTGTAATACGTTTCCCCTTCCTTATCTGCCTATTGAACTCCTAGTTATCCTTTAAAACCCTGCCCAGGTGCCACCTCCTCTGTAAAGCTTTCTATCTCCTGCAGGGACCCCAGACCTCACTTGGAGAAATGTTGCCTCAGGGGCTGGTGTGTGCCCAGGACAGGAAGTTTGGTGGCAGGAGGGAATTGAGAATTCAGGCAGAACTCAAAGCGGTGGAAGCAGCTTCTGCTGTTCCTCTTACATGGAATGTCTTTCTCTTCTTCTTTGCCTAGTCAGCTTCAAAACTCAGCTTTTCAACTGACATATTACCTCTTCTAGAAATTTTTCCCTGACTGCCTACCACCATGCACTGGTCTTCTTTGAGCACCACATCGGCCTACATTGAGAGTTCCTTGGGGCTGAGACTATGTCTGATGCTTTTCCTTGTCCCTGTCTCGCCTCAGCACGGGCTGGGCACAGAGCAATCAGTGTGTGCAGAGCAGGTCTATGTCACTGGGACAAGGTCAGGAAAAGACTCAGCGAGTCCAGTCTCTTCACCACTGCTCTTTGGTCTGTGGGTGAGGGAGCTGGGTACATCTCCACCCCTACCTAGGTCCTACCCTCAGAGGTCCTAGCTCACCAAGGGACCTTAGTCTGAGTCGCAGCCTCCGTCCTGCACCTGACCTGACCTTGGCAAGTAAGGCTAGCTCAGAACCTTCCTGGAAACCTTGGTCTTCAGCCCCTTCCCTGCTCTTTTACCTGGACACACGGAAGTCCTCACCTTGCTGCTCTCCTCTCCTGGGCGGTGGGCCTGCGTGCAAGTCCAGCCTTATATCCTGCATGCCCCAGCCCAGGTGCCGACTCTTTGCATTTTTGCTGAGGCCTCAGGCCAGGCTGAGGTCTCCAAGATAAATATTTGTGGCTTGCAGTGAACCGTAGCCTTGCCCAGAAGCAGCCTTGGGACTCCAGTTTCCTGAGGTTTGGAGAAAGAAGGGTCCAGGCTGGCACGAGAGACAGGTGGGGCACTGAGGCCCATGACAGGGGGGGCTGGGCCAGGCACAGTGTGGGCCATGCAAGGGGCTTCCTGCCTCCTGGGCAGTCACTCCCATGGGACAACCATGAGAACAGTAGCAGTGACGAGGTATTAAGTACTTACGACGTGGCCGATGCTGCCCCAGGCTTTACATGGGTTATGGCAGTGGGTCAACATCGTTACCCTGACTTTACCATGGAGGAAACAGCCTCACACAGTTAGCAAATGGTAGAGCCAGGATTCAAATCAGAACTCTGACTTCAAAACCCACCTGGGGATGTCTCCACCGTGTGGCAGACCCAGGGGTGTCCTGGGGAAAGACTGAATCTGAGCCCTGGCCCAAATACTTCCAGGCTGTGTGACTTGAGGCACATTCCCCAGCCTCTCCAAGCCTCAGGTTTTTTATCTGTGAAGTGGGAGCAATGACAGTACTTACCTCCTAGAGTACTGAGAGGAACACGGTGTCTATAGCTTAGAGCATAGGTCCTGGCACAGAGTAAGTGCTTGATCAATGTGAGTGGGTGTCGTTGCTGTTATTATTATTGCTTATAATAGGATGAGCCTCTGTAGGCAGATTATGATCAGAGTTTAGTCCAGATAATTAACTTGGATAAAGGGTGGAATAGCTTTGCTCACCCTTTATTCCTCAATGCACCCAAGGATTCACACCTCTATTAATTAATTCACTCAAGAGGATCAGTTTGGATCCCATTTTTGTCACTTCTTCACTGTGTGACACTGGGAAAGGTACTTCACCTCTCTGGACCTCAATTTCCTCATCTGTAAAATGGGGATAATAATAGCTCCTCCCTCACAGCTTCTAAGAGCATGAACTGAGGTGCAGGCCCCATAGCATGGTGCTCTCATTCATTCATTCTGTAGCAGTTAGCACACACTTTACCTTGTGTGTGCCTTTAGGGATCTCAGTGAATATTTGTGGAATGAATGAATACTGAAGCATAACGATGAGCCAAGGGGACACGTGTGAACAGCCCAGCAGGGCGCTATCACCCACTGCCTGGGTGCAGGTCTTGGCTTACTTAACCTGCAGTCACCCAGAACTGGTGTCAGTAACCCTAATTCCACCGAAGGCATCTGAGGCTCAGGGAGGGGGTGCCTTGCTCAAGGTTACATGGTCAGTGATGTCAGAGCTAGGATTTGAACCCAAGAACCACAAGATCTTAACCACCGTGCTGTCCTTCCCCAGTAACTGCAGGTTAGTGTTGGAGGGGTGGTGGTGGTGATGCAAACATGGCCTTCATCATAACCCGGGAAATCGTCCTTGCTGCCCCACTTCAGTCTAGAGGCATGGGATTGTGGTGTAGAGCTTGGAGAGCCGTTGGGATTGTTGAATCCTGTCTCCTTCTGCAGGCAGGACAAGAGAGGGACAGTGAGCATCCTGAGGTCACACAGCATTTGGCAAGTCCCAGGCTGATCTCCTCTTCCTGGTGTTGTGAAGAGGAACAAGGTGAAGAGCGTTTGCCAAACGTGCCAAGGCCCCGAGCACGTACAAATGAGATGCTTTGGGAGCCAGTGAGGCCGGCTGGGAAGGACCCTGCCAGTCCCTCGGGCATATCTCCAGAGAGGCTCCTACCCAGCCACACTCGCTGCCAGTGGACAACGCCCCTCTGTGGGAGGCTGGAGCCCAGTGCCAAGGCCTGGGCTCGTGTCAGCACCTGCTTCCTGCTTCTCGGCCCTGACTCATTTGCCAGGTCAGCAAGCATGACTGTGCCTCTGTAGGCCTGGCATACCTAGAACCACTGCCCACCACAGCCCATGATAGCCATGTCCTCCATGCTGCCCAACCCCTCCCAGACTACCAGGGACCTCTCTCTCCTGGCCTGACCCCTTTCCAGCTCTCGGGCCTTTGCTTGTCTTTTGCTGGGAATGCCCCCTCCACTCCATCTTGTTCTGTCTAGGCAGTAGGGAAGCCTCTGGAATCCAAAAGACATGGTTCAAATCCTTGCTTTTGTGCTTGTCAGCTGTGTGACCTTGGGAAAATTGCTCCCTCTCCCTGAGCCTCTTTTTCCTTAAAAATGAGATTGTTTTGAGGGTTACAGAAAGTAAATATAAAGTGCTTGGAACATTGGACAATTTAGTAAATGGTAATTGCTATTATTATTATTATTAGAAGTCCTTGGGTGGTACAAATGGTTAAGCACTCGACTACTAACTGAAAGGTTGGTGATTCGAACCCATCCAGAGGCAATTCAGAAGACAGGTCTGACGATCTACTTCAGAAAGGTCACAGCCTTGAAAACTCTATAGAGCACAGTTTTACTCTCCACACATGGGGTAGCCATGAGTCAGAATCAACTGGAGAGCAAGTAACAACAACAATTATTATTGTTTTATTGAAATATTGACACCACCGCACCGACCTTCAAGCTCAATTCAGAAGGCAGTATCTGCATAAAGCTTTCCTTGATCACTACCCACCCTGCCCTCTATGTCCTCTCATCCCTCTTTGACCCCTAAAGCACTAACTCTTTACTCTATTGGGGCTTGGATTCTTCTCTGCCTTGAGGGATGTTTATTTCATCCATCCATCCGTCCATCATCCATCTGTCCATCATCCATCCGTCTATCCATCCATCCATCATCCAGCCATTCATCCATCCATTCATCCATCCATCCATCCTTCCTTCCTTCATATTGCACCAGCCTACTCACTGGTCTCCTTTCCACCCTAGTCCCCCCTGAATCCAATTTCCACCCACCAGCCAGAGTTAGCTTTCAAAAACATTACTCAGATCTTATCACTGTCCTGCTTATCAACACCCTCCAATGGTTTCCAGTGCTCTTAGATGAATATCCAAGCTCTTATAAGGCCCTGCATGGCTGGCTGCTTCTCACTTTCAGCCGTCTCACCACTTTGCTCCTCTCGCCTCTCATTCCTACCTCGGGGGCGTTTGCACATGCTGAGACTTCTCCCAGGAGTGCTCTTCTGTCAGCTTTTCCCCAGGATGGCTCCTTCTCATTCACCACATCTCAGCCTCAATATCACCTCTTTGGAGAGGCCTTTCCTGGCTACTCTGTCTCAAGAAGGGATCTTCTCTCTCACTTCCTACTGACGGGGTTTCCTTATAGCACTAGAACTGGATCTGAAGTGTCATCTGAGACACCATAATTACACAGATGTGTTACATACCAAGGAGGGGCCAGACTGCAAGGCCAGTTTTCAAAGCAGGTGGCCAAGAACTAGTCATACCATACTCAGGTCCCTCATCAAAGTGATAAAAGGGTTAGAAGAGAAAAGGAAGATCTGTGAAGATATTTAGTTGAGGAGGACTGTGGTCCCTCCTCCCACTCTGTCAGGGAGAAGGGAAGGGCTGTCTGCCCCTCAGTGCAGGCCTAGAGGGAGGAGGCCTTTCAGGGACCACCTGGGCACTTGGGGG